AAGTAACGGTAACGTTAAACTTAACGTAGTTCTTACTTAACTTAACTACGGTACGTATAGTAGTAAGTTAAGTAGACGAACTAACTAGCGTAGTAGTAGTATATATATATATATATATATATATATATATATATAGAAAGACATACACAGAGAGAGAGAGATTGCCTTCATCATTGAGTATAATATCAAAAGACACATTTCGATCCAAGTTTATTAATCACGCAGTATTTTACCCTTTTTAAAACTTAATATCTAGGAACCAATTTCATATACTCCATTTATTATTACCCTTGTACGATTTAATCTATGAAATAAATTTAGCTTAACAAATCGAATTCTAGATTACTGGTTTTAAAGACATGTATGAAAGTGTATATAATTAACACTGAATGCAGTTGTCCTTTGAACCATTTTGGTGTTAAACTGTAAATTTAAAACCTATTATGGTGGTCATTATAAGTATCATTCCTATTATTATCTTTATGATATGTTTCATATGTGTTTTAATGATTTTTGGAAAGGTACTCTTTGTAAAATTTCTTAGATTGTTTGGCGCTTTTACTATGGACACCATCGCAGCTTGTGCCTTCGGAACTCGTGTTGATTCTTATAAAAATCCTGACAATCCTTTCGTTATTCACGCACGAAAACTGTTCAATAAAGACGTCAAACCATTGGATATTCTAGCATGTAAGAAATCGACTCTCTTATAAAACTTTCTTTCACATTTTAGAAAATTAGGAATTGTTATTTCGTAAGAAAAAAATGAGAGACAAAGCTAAATATGTCACATCTTTAATTAAGTCGCCAGGGGGCAGTGTAATCTTAAAAATTAGCGGTGTAAAAGCGATAGAAAGGGCTTATAATGACCAGTCTAGCAAATCTAATAAATTAACCCTAGAGATTTTTGAGCACATATGCATAAATATGCATTACTGCATTTTCTACTGTACGTTAAATAAGTACTAGTCTTGATGCGGCAAAAATGTGTAATAGATAAGTTGAGAGTTTAAATGTATTAACTTTTATTAAAATGTCCTGTGATCCTTTTTAATTAAAAATTAATGTGTTGCGTGTTTCTATCATTATTTAATTTCCTTATAATTTGTTTCAGTTTTCTTCACCGTTTCTTTCTTCTAACAGTTATGAACCCTAAACTAGCCCGATTTTTTGGAATCAACATTATCGGCGAAGAAATGGTGAATTTCTTCAAAAATGTTACCAATCAAATTATTGAATACAGGCAAGAACACAATGAGGTATGATCACTGTTTAAACATCTTGATTGTTTATCTTTGATATACAGAGAATTGAGTACATTATATTTAAATCATCAAGTCTCGATATGTAGTCTAGGTGGAATGGTATGTATCAGAACTACATTTTCACACTGTTTGGTGTTTCGTAGATAACGTTATTCCGCCGAATACTGAACGCTTCTGGCGCAAGATATTCGTATATTCCGATCAAAGTTTAGATTGGGGATTTAGAATTTCCAAGACGGGGATACCTTTTGTACTTAAAGACATTGTAAAACAATGGAATGTGGGTCAGCTTGGGAAGCCAAGACTATCCAGAAAGAGACCTACAACAAGTCGTATCCCAGCAGTAGTAAACAAAATGTTACCTCCTGTAACTGCCTGAAATGGCCTGGTGGTTAGGGTACTTGGAATCCGAGGGTTCTAATTCCCGTCACACCAAACATGCTCGCCCTCTCGGCCGTGGGAGCGTTATAATGTGATGGTCAATCCCATTTTTCGTTAGTAAAAGAGTAATACAAGAATTGGCGGTGGGTAGTAATGACTAGCTGCCTTCCATCTTCTGGAAATGGTGTCAACAGGATGTGGGTTCAACAAAATAGTTTCCTTCCTCCTATTCAATCACTGAATATCTCAAGAAGCTGGAGAATGAAACTGGTTTTCGTGCTATTCCATACGAAGAGGACACGTTGTTCAAGACACTGCACACAGTGCCTATCGATTTGCTTCAGATCGGACGTTTGAAACGGGCACCGGGAAGTCGTAGTCCTGGTACACAAAATAGCTTATGGAAAGCAAGCAGGGTGAGGTGAGGAGCTTTCAATATGACAACTTATGACTGAGCCTTTTAAGACGGAAACTACGCTTCAGGGCTATTGTCAAGATGCACGGTCATCAGGTAGTTCATGAACAGACGTGATGACACAGACTTTAACAACGTGGTGAGGCCTCAAAATTATATTAATATCAGGCACTCAAGCAGAAGTAGTACGTTATTTTTTGTCAATCTCCCATTTTCAGATAAGAAGAGATTTATTATTTTAAAACGACGAAATTTTATATCCTCTCTAAAGTAAAACCAGAATAGTTTGATTATACGCAAAATCAGACATTTGAGTATAATTTTCCAATAAATAGCAAGTTCGAGTAAATGTCCTCTTTACAAGCATTTTTTGCTTTTATTAAGCAGGTATAACTTTAAATAATTGAATTTTTAGTTTAATAAAAGTTTCAATACCTACTGATTATTCCTCCTTGATATTTGTAATTTTTTTTTCTTCTAGCACTCGTTTTAAAAGTATTTTTATTTTTTCCAGAAACAAAATGATTTTCTTCAGCTTATGCTAGATGCTCAGGAATCTACCCAGGAAGTCGAAGATGACCATGATGAAGTCAATAATTTAATGGACAGTGCACATGTCCATGAAGATGAGAATAAGGAATTTGTGTTAAAGCCATCCAAACGAAAGAGTAATGTTAATTACCACTCTAAAATAACGTTCTTTTATAGACATTAAGTACAACTACATTAATGTCCCTCAGTGGGTCAGCGAGATTTGATTCCTGTAGTGGACAGAGCACATATAGCTTATTCTGCAGCTTTTTGCTAAAACAAACAAACAAATACATTTTCTGGCTATTAGTTTCAGTACTAAAAGTTCCCCGTAGGTTCGAAGAAATATTTTCTTATTGTTATAAATTTTCGTTATAATAAGTTTCTCGTCCAGTTCTGTACAAGCAAAACTGAACATAAGTAGTGTAGTTAAAGACAGCAGAAAGTATCCGAATTTTTCATGGGATTTTGGCAGTTCTTTTATTATATATATAAAGAAAAAAAAAGGTAATCGGTGAGATTAAGATTTAATTAAGAGTCTCTTTCTATCTGTGTGTGCCGTGCTCTGTATCTCCTGAACGGTTAACCCTAGAAATAATCAAAATGCTTCTTTTCACGAGTAAATTACAGAAAAATTATTAATTTTTGGTAATTCTTAAAATTTCATGTCGATATCAACATCGATTGGTCAGTCTTTGTGTGTGTTGAACAGTCAATCTGAGAAGGAAATTTATTAAGAACAAAAATGTTTCTTTTTATGAGAGAATTTCGTGGAAAAAAAATTAACGAGACTTCCTCCTTCCACTGATTGAAAGAAATATTTCGAATATGGGAGTCATGAAGGGAAAAAGCACAAAGAGAGGAACGTGTTTGACTATGTAGTTTGTTTTAATATTTCCCCTTTGACAATTCTAGAAATCACGATTGTCAAAAAACGCTCGTGGTCTTTCTTTGCGTTCAGTAAAATGACAAGGAACGGTGTCATCCAGTTTAAAATATCCCCTCAGCTATTTAGCGAACTTGAGTGCTGTGTTATACTACATGCACCCATTGCATCGAAACCCAAACATTTTTTCCCACAATGCGTTACAATTCGTTTCCTTTGGTTAGCCCCCAGTGGTACAGCAGTATGTCTGTGGACTTACAATGCTAGAAACTGGGTTTCGATACCCGTGGTGAGCAGAGCACAGATAGCCCAATGTGTAGCTTTGTGCTTAATACCAAACAAACTATCCTTTGGCAAGCGCAGGGCAATTTTCCTTATTGAAATATCACATGAAATGACAAAAAAAATTGTTAACGACCCACTAGACAATCATATACGCTCTGATCTAAGGGATTGGGTTGACTGCATATATTCATCCCTATTTCTAGGAAATTGACCGTTGAAATATTTCATGTTTTAACGGGCATCTGCCAGTAATCTGTAACTGTTTCGAAAAACTAATCATGTTTTAACGAACATCTGCTAGTAATCTATAACTGTTTCGAAAAACTAGTCATGTTTTAACGGACATCTGCTAGTAATCTATAACTGTTTCGAAAAACTAATCATGTTTTAACGGGCATCTGCTAGTAATCTATAACTGTTTCGAAAAACTAGTCATGTTTTAACGGGCATCTGCTAGTAATCTATAACTGTTTCGAAAAACTAGTCATGTTTTAACGGGCATCTGCTAGTAATCTATAACTGTTTCGAAAAACTAAGCTTAAGAAAACTGTAAACATTTGTTCAAACTATTCTGTCGTAGAGAGATGGTACTTAGGGGGACCGTTTCAAGTACTTTTTGTATGTATGTATGTGTTTGTTTATATAACCATACACACACACACACATGCGCACGTTCCAGGTGCTGTATAACAAGATAAATTTTGCTAGGGGACCTAATGACGTTGGTACCAAGTTTTCAACGTAGTACAACAATGAGTGGCAGTAAGAGGGAATATGCACACTTCTCTTCTGTTTCTCTAAATAACATTATTTAACTTACCTTGAAATAAAGAATATTTAAATCTATTTATAGTGAATTTTGGCATTTTTTTTCTTGTATTTTCTTAGCAATATTTGAAGTCCTTATTTCATAAAATTGTCGTCACTATAGTTTAACTTCCAATAAACATCAATCAACTGTACATTGTATGAAAGATGTAGGCGTAAGGCGGAGAAAGTACTGAGGCATAATGGTAAGTGAAAACTGACGTATAGCATCGCTGCCTCCTCTTGTAAACTTTCCTTGTGTTTCTTTCTTAGTTCTGACAAGAGATGACATTTTAGCCAATAGCATATTGTTTTTCCTGGCTGGCTACGACACAACAGCCAATGCATTATCCTACTGTGTGTACTGTTTAGCTCTGAACCAAGAGTGCCAAGAGAAACTAATCCAAGAAATTGATCACGTCTGGGAAGAACATGTAAGTCACGCCAGTAATGAGTTTTTATAGTGGAACATAATTTAATTTAACCAGGAAGTGGGAGAATTTTAAATAACATATCTTCGTGAAATTTTAAGTTGCTTACTGTTATCGCCTTGTAATGTGTTTATTTTTACCAAGTTCCATGTTTTTCCTACCAGAAGAGATTCCCATTTATTGACTTATTGAATCTGTAACTTTCTTTCTAGTTTTGCATCTGTTTTGATTGTTTTTCTGAGATGGAATGTCCACTATACTTTTGGGTGTTATGGCTGTAAACATATTCATTTCAAAATTATAACATTTATGCTCTTATATAAATGACATAATTTTACGTTTTTACAGTTTTGATGATGCAATCATGTATTTGATATCATGGACATCCATAACCAAAATGTGTGTATATACATTTATATAACACTATTTTATGTATATAACAATTTAATTTTGGCATGAAAATTGGGAACATTGTATTGCAGCCGAACTAAATTGATATAATTTAACGCTATGCAAGTCCCTTCTTACAGTGCTATATTTGGTTGTTTCTACCACACGATATATGAACCCACTGTTAAGTTTAAAAGGACCGCTGTGGTATCTTTTAATGAAAATCTTAGTCCGTACTTCGTTTGATAAATATTTCTACTCGTGCTTCACGTATACACGTAGTTTCCCGGTGATGTTCACTGACTTGCATACTTGTATTTTATTATTGGTTTTCATCACATCTTAAAAGCGCCAAAGTGTACCAGGTTTTGCATATGAAAGATAAACCAGTCAATAATGAAACAAATGTGTGTTTTAAAAAATGTTTGTTGTTGTTTTGTTTTCGTTTGTTGCCATACCTGCCTCGATTCAACTGATATGTAACTTTACTACAAAGATGTATGAGAAAACCAAACTGTTTATTTTCAGGATGGGATTGACTACGAACAGATAGGAAAAATGGCCTACCTCGACCGCGTTTTGTCAGAGACGTTACGACTCCACGGTACCGTCGTGTTGTAAGTAAAATAATAAACAAGTTAGGCCGTTCTACCGAAAATTTTCAATTGACGCAAAAGTATTGTTTTTTCTTTTAATGTTAATCACATTTTGGTATCTTGAACAGACTCGATAGAAAAGCCACTGTTGACTACGAGTTAGGAGACACGGGAATCACCATACCTAAAGGCATGGTCGTCCAAATACCTATCTACTCAATTCACCATGATCCCGAGTATTATCCTGAACCTCATACCTTCGACCCAGAAAGGTTTGTTTTTCTCCACTATATGTCGAAGTGTTTCTTTTAAGGTATGTAACAATAAATTGGACAATGACATTTAAAAATTACTTTTGTTACAGGTTTTATAGTTAGTCAGAGATATGGCAGTAATATTTTAGTAAACGGGGTAAGAACGTTAGATTGCAGCGGTATTCCAGGTGAGTTTTGGAATGATGCCGTTGTTTCCAATCTAGTTTGTCGCAGTATTCCGGATGGGTTATGGAATGATGCCGTTACTTCCAATCTAGTTTATCGCAGTATTCTGGATGGGTTTTGGAATGATGCCGTTGTTTCCAATCTAGTTTATCGCAGTATTCCAGATCGGTTTTGGAATGATGCCATTGTTTCCAATCTAGTTTGTCGCAGTATTCTGGATGGGTTTTGGAATGATGCCGTTGTTTCCAATCTAGTTTGTCGCAGTATTCCAGATGGGTTTTGGAATGATGCCGTTACTTCCAATCTAGTTTATCGCAGTATTCTGGATGGGTTTTGGAATGATGCCGTTGTTTCCAATCTAGTTTGTCAAAGTATTCCAGATGGGTTATGGAATGATGCCGTTGTTTCCAATCTAGTTTATCGCAGTATTCCGGATGGGTTTTGGAATGATGCCGGTGTTTCCAATCTAGTTTGTCGCAGTATTCTGGATGGTTTATGAATGATGCCGTTGTTTCCAATCTAGTTTGTCGCAGTATTC